ACTTCTATTTCAAAGTTTAAAATAACCATTCTGCGGAACCTTTTTTTTTGTGTTATAAACCTTAATTATAACAATGTACCAAACTACCCCTATTCGGCAAATAAATTCCAAACAAAGCCTCCAAAGTGCTATGCCACCCCCAAACAACATTAAAAATCCAAAGAAGTCCTTCCTCAGTCTGTCAATAAAATAGAAATTTGAGGATGGGTCAGCATGAGTCCACAAGACTAAATATGACTTACCAGTCATATGATTTGAGGCACGCAAATCAATTATCCAAGCACTCATGGTTTTACCTGATGTTGATGGTACTTAGAAAGATTGGAGAAGCTCTTGGATTGGCTGGAGTTGCTATTGACAGTACGAATTGGGCAAACTAGGCACAGTGGTGGATGTTGGTACCGTAGTAGAAGTAGATGAAGTATCAATAGGAGCAAGCGCAACAGGATTTTTCCATTTGGAATTGACGTATTTTTCATTTATGGTAGTCTGGAATCATGTGTCCTGGCTTTCTGCAATAGTGACATATCACTTTAGCTTGGTTAGCTAGTTCGCAAGCCTGAATTTCTTGGACTTTAGCCATAGAAAAAGTGATTTGCAGCAAGTAGGGTCTCAGTGGATGGTAAAACTGAACCACCTTAATGCGATTGGAGACAACACTCTGGTCTCTCTTGCATGCACGTTGGCCACAACTTTCAGGGACTGGCATCCGATTAATTATAGAGGATCTGACATTCTCAAATTCTGTTCAAAGGGCCATTAAGAATCAGGACTGGTGCAATTCGTTTTTATATTTTTGAAATTCAGAGATGGAAGTACCAGAAAATTTGTGGATTTATCATATTTTGTTGATTCCGTAAAAAGCGAAGTCTCAAATGAAAATCTAAAACAGACATATCTTCTTAAACAAGAATATGAGTATCATGCTGCAACTGATAGAAATGAGTTGAACCATTTTGACAAAAAATATTCTTTGGACGGTTCTAGATTTTAAAGGCGGTAGAAAATGACATAATAGAATATTGAAATGGGGTTCAAGAGGAGAATAAGATGGCAATCATTTTGGCATCCAAAATCTTCCGAATCAGCACATTCTTCGTAACAAATGCCCATGTGGAGTAGTTTTAAGATGTTTATTTAGGGACAGCACTGCAGTAGGTACTAGCAAATCCTATTTTTGTATCCATTAAAATAGACAGATTGAAGAGCTAGAGTAGACTTCAGGAAGAAATGCCCTAGAATCTGATATGGGTTTAAAATCAAGGAGATGAGGCAGATCTATGTTTTGAAATCAAGAAGGAGATGAGACAGATCCAGGATTTGAAAACCTAGAAGAAGATGAGGTGTATCAAGGGTTTTCAAGCAAGGGGCTCTAATATCATGACAAAAGTTAGAGAGCAAATAAATTGGGAAGGATTTTCCTTATTTGAAGGATCCCTCAATGGGCTATATGTACAGGGTGCGGTTTGTATAGAGCCTAGGCTCTAAACAATCAAATTAGAGCCGACCTTCAAATAGTGTTGAGAAATGTGGGTTCAATACTGGAAATCTTTGTGATAGCTTTAAAATATATTTTCATCTTTATTTATAAAGTTTAAAGCTTCAAAAATAGCGTACATCGACAGATCTATGAAAACTTGAAAGTCTTGAAAATTGACGGTCCAAAAATACGGTACAAAATACACTATTTCCAAAACTTGAAATCCATTTTTTTCTCATGTCCATGCATCTTGATATCGTGATGATCAATTTGAGGATATTTGGGCATCAAAACAACCTCTTCTAGTGAAAATTTTGAGGTTTGCTCTTATTTGATTGTTTAGAGCCTCGGCTCTATGTAAACTTTTCCCATATGTGCAAGTCTGTATACAATCCCAGTTGTTAGCAGAATGAGCCATGGATTACAGTCCCTTCTTTATAAATAAATGTATCAGGTGGTAAAGAATGAAAGAATGCAAATAAAAAAAAATACAATGATACCCTTGTGTTTTCTTTATCTTTGTTATCATTGAGCTGAGGTCCGGTTCTTTTACAATATGAAACCGTTATGTTAGGTAAGTTAGTGTCACTTGAAGCATTATTTTGGATGCTTGCTGTTTAGAAATGTATGAGGTTCTCATTATTGATGTATAATAGGTGCTTGCTATTCTTTTGAGCCTAGCTAACCATGGTTGAAGCTTAGCTTAAACATGAGAATGGAGCTCATCAGCAGAATGAGCAAGTGGTCCAAGCCTCACACCCCAAACAGGTCCAACGCCTTTCTGTTTTGAACTCATGTGATGGAGGATAAGAAATTGCCACACCATATCTAAGAGTGGTGATTTCTTTCCATATCCAGGGTTGGGTGGTTTCAGGTTATCTAGGAAGCTACGACTTTTCAAATTACAGCCTAAATTATTGAGTAGGGACTCATTTGGTGCGGTTAACGATAAGATGGATGCTTTAATAGAAGACATTGCAAAATAGATCGTCCAGAGGAAGATTATTGGAAATAGAGATAGCTTGACACTCTAAAGCCAGAACAAAGGTCCAAAATGTGTCAAGCATGAGGACATATGCTGGCATCATTGATCTGTAGTTAAATGGCTTAAGCAAGGAGATCAAAACACCGTCTTTTTCCATCACATAGCGAACTCCAAAAGAAGATGTAATTCAATTATGAGTGTCACACTTAGAGGTATTGATGATGATGTTGGATTTTGGCTGCTCACATAGACTTCTTCAAAGACATTTCCATCACTAGATTAGGTGTCAAAATGAACCTTATCCCTGAAATATTTGATATGATATCTGACTCATCAGCTTCCTGGCTTGAACAACCTTTTAACTTAGAAGAGATCAAGAAAGTAGTCTTTAATTCACCAACGGACACAATGCCCTGCCCAGATGGTTGTCCTATAGCCCTTTCTCAAAGCTTGTGGGACAAGATGCAGGAGATTGTCTTTCAGGTACTTACTGAGTTTCATGACAAAGGTAGCATTCGTAAGGCTGTGAATGCAACTTTCATTGCTTGAATCACAAAGGTGTCATTCAGGGACTGCTTTTAAGTGTGCCATGCTACAGGAATAGAATCATGGTTTCCCACCTGAAACATGGAGACGCCACCTTGATTATCTGCCAACATGCTGTTCAGTGGCTCTTCCTAAACAGTTTTGAAGTCTACTTTGGCTTACATGTCACCTTTCACAAAACTACACCCCTTGGTGTTGGAGTGGCTGATTATGGCCTGAATATGCTAGCGTCCTGTTTCGGCTGCAATGCTGATACTTTAACTTCAAAATACCTTGATCTGTGCCTGCGTTCTGGTTTGCGCGCGAAAGAGTGGTGGAATGGGGTGATTGCAAGGGTTCAGCTTTACCTTGTTATTTGGAAGAGGTGCTATTTATCATTGGGGGCAGGATCACCCTTTCCAAGCCTAGCCTTAACAACCTCCCTTTATATTCCATGTCCTTATGCAAAATCCCATCTAGCCTCATCACATGGATTTAAAGGAGCCAACAAGATTTCATTTCAAAGGAAGTCTAAAAATTTAAGCTTGTCGAGTCAGAAAAGGTGAGGGGTATACAGGCATTGCTGCGCAAATGTTGGTGGATGCTAGGGGAAGCTCAATTGCAGCATCAGCTGCGGAAGCAAGTCCAGAGATTCAAGTATGCTCTAAACTGTGGGCTGGGGGACTGTAACTTTCATGTTGTGCATCATGGGAGCTCTGGTTTTTGGAAAGTATTGGACCACTGAAGACTATCTTTATTTAACCTATTTGGTTCTCAGTGGTTAGTGGGGCCTGTATTAATGTTTGGAAGGATTTATGGATTGGAGATTCAAGACTGGCTGAATCATTCTCCAATACATTCTCTATTTCTGATATTCAGGAGGCTTCTGTAAGCTCTTGCTATGATTGCATATGGGGGTAGTCATCTGGTGCTCTACCTTTTGTCATAATTACGTGATATGAGATGATCACATTCCAAGTACTCTTGGCTGCACTCAATCAGGTTGTTATACCATCTCAATGAGAAGACATTGGAATCTGGCCTCCAAAATTTTCTGGGATATTCACCATTCATCGAGGCCTTGCTAGATTCTTCCATGCCTAAATTGACCACTAGGAAGCCATGCGCTATAACTACACCCCTGAGAACTGGGGCTCATGGTTGGCTAGTGATTCATGACAAGATCTTAATGGTCAACCATCATATTTGCCAAGGAATTATGATACCCAACAGATGTATTATCTCTGTAAGCTTGACGGCAAAACTGTCCATCATCTGTTTGTAGCACCAACGAGTTGGCCAGCATGTTTTTTAGACTTAATATGTTTACTTGATTTACCTTGGGTGTATCCTAGCTCGGTATAAATCCTTTTTAGGTGATGCTTTTGGTTGCCTCTCTTCCACTCCGGTAATCTTTTGTGGTGCTTATCCATTTTGGCAATTATCTGGAGATTATGGTTAGAGTGTAACTAATGAACATTTGAGGGCAAATGTTTGAGTTTGGAGTCTTTGACAGAAAAATAGACGCTAATATTCTCAGCTGGAGTAGAGGTAGGATAGGATTTTGTAGATTTGCAGTGGTTGATTTCTTAATAAATTTGAGAAAATTGCTTGCAAAAAAGTACACGCGTTTTCTTCGGTTCGGAACATGCATTACGAGGCTCGGTTATAGTTAAGTTTTAATGGTAGTTCATTTGAAACTCAGGCCTGTATTTGGAGGGCTGTATTGAAATTTGAAGGGTATGATTGTCCTTTTGTGCCCAGGACCTGCTGGAATCTGTGATGCCACCACTGTAGAGGGCCTTGCACCCTTAAAGAGTTTGAGTCTTTACAATAAAGATTGGGGACCGCTAGTCATTGAAGGAAGTCCTGGAAACACTATTCAGTGACCTGCAAGTTAGTTTTTTGCCCATGGCATCTCGACAACATTTTTGCTTTGCCCATGGCATCTTAACAACATTTTTGCTTAGATGTTTGATTGTATTTCGGAATCTTGATCATGTTCCTTCATCTGCAGCATCTAGTAATTCAATTCAATGCTTATATATTGCAATATGTTCGAACCCCAGTGTATGGTTTTGAGATTCATCACATTTTGTAAAGTTTATACTTTTTAATGGTCTACAGTTGCCCTTCAAGAAAAAGTGAATGAAACACATTAACTTTTGTGTTTGGGGGAGTTTTAGATCGTTCAAAACCTGACTTGATTTTTCATGTCTAGCATAATCGCCTTGTAGACACCCCATTTTTAAAAACGGTAAATTCCATGATTTTTCTAATTTTAGACAACCCTTAGGACCATACTATTCCATAAGATCCTTGAATTATAGAACACCGTAGTCCATGGTCCCTATCTTGTGATCCAATATCCTGGCATATCTTTTAGCTATTAAAGTATATCCATTCCAACCAATTTTGGGCTTTTAAAATGGGTTTTGGTCAACCATTCTAGGGAGGTCATTAGAAGACGGTGTGCTCAGGAATCCAGAGAGAAACTCTGAAAGCAGAAAGCAAACCTTAGATCTAGACAAGCAACCTTGAAGCCCTAGCCCCCTGAAACCAACTTAGATCAGCAAAACTCTAGTTCACCAAGCCAATGCTTGGTAAAGTTTGAAGAGAGAACAACAAAGGATACACAGTGTAAACACAGCCGTGGTTCGGATATGGGCGAGGTCTCGAAGCCTAGGTGCCCGGGCCAACTGGCTCGAGCAGGTAACCTTTTCTTTTCCATTTCCAGCTAATTTATTTATTTTATTAGAGTTATTTTATTTATTTTATTAGATTTAGGATTCTTGTATTGCTTTTTTTTACTGTTTTTCTATTTCGTATTTCATTGCATGGATCATTGCTGGCTCTGCCATTGATATGAGATTAGATATACTCATTTTTTAGTAGATCTAACCTTAGATCAGAATTTGAAGCATCCCTACTCTCGATCAAATCACTTTTAAAAACAAGTTTGTGGTTCGGATCTGAGAGATCTTTCCTTGAAGATCTCTCCAATATGCATCGTAAACAGTTTGGTGCCCACCGTGGGGCATTTCGAGCTAGATCTGTGCATGCAAAAAAAAAAGCCCAAGATCTCCTTTTGAGGGCCATTTTTTTTTTAAAAAAAGGAAAAAGAATCGTTTCATTTAATTGCATCTTGTTCTAGTTTCCCTTTTTTCGATAATTTGGTACTACTTCGCTTTCTTTTCTCGGCTTGGATCCATTCCAAAGAATTTGCTTGTGTTTCAAGTGGTCTTGCGTGTTTTTGTTTATAGCTAAAAATTTTCAGATCCTACGCTTCTTTTGCATCTTCACCTCATTGAATTTTTGAGAGAGAGAGAGAAAGAGCTGCGATATTTTCTTTGGGTGTTAATCTTGACCTCTCCGTCTTTTTGTTGCTGGAAGATCCCATTCAACACAATCAAGAAGAAAAAAAAGAAACTTGCTGTGAAATCCCATGCCACCCCATGCGCTTTACCAGACCCATCTCAACCAACGCAATTTCAATGGATTTCAAATAAATTTGTGCCTAGATCCATAGCCGGACTTCCGGAAACAGGCAGTCCCAAGAGTTGTGCCTAGATCCATAGGCGGTTAAGATTCATTCGTTTTAGATTTGCAGCTGGTTTCCAAAAGAAAAGAATAGAGAGAGAGAGAGAAAGAGAGAGCAAAAAGACATCTTTATCTTCATCATCTTCATTTCCTTTCTCCTTAAAAAAAAAAAAAAAAAAAATTTTTGTTTCTTTGCGCTTGCTTTCCCTGCGCTCTCTTTCTCTTCGTTGTCGTTATTTCCTTTTTCCTTAAAAAAAAAAAGAGCTCCCACATTGTATAATCCCAAAATTCCATTTTGCCGATTTTTTTTTATTTTTCTAAAAAAAAAATCTCTTTTGCAAAATTTTTTTTTTTGCTTTTTTTTGAAGGCATTTTCTTTTTCCCCATATAAAAGAAAATAGAAAAGATAAAAAAAAGAAGGATAAGTAGATTAGATTTTAAATTCTTTATCTTGTGTTTTATCCGTAGAAATAGATTAGGTTTTTAATTCCTTATTTTGTGCTTTATCCATATCCGGCACATTAGACAAATTTTCTCTTCTCTTATCATACTAGATTGGACTTGATGTTATTTGACTTGATATTATCTGTTTGATCTTATTTTTTGTTTTTAAGTCCTTTTTGCATAATTTAAAACTTTCTTGACTCTATCTTCTTTTAAAAGTATTTTTACCTTTTGAATTAAAAAAAAAAAACTCTTTGTTTCAAAAACAAAAAAAGAATTTTTTTTTTTTAGAAGTTTTCAAAAAGAAAAAAACAACAAACCCTCTGTGCTTTAAAAAAAGAAGGAAAAAAAGTGGGTGTTTAAGGTCATCTTTCTTATTAAAAAAGAAAAAGAAAAAAAAACAATCTTTAGCCAATTTCATTTTAAAAAAGAAAAATTTACTTTCCTAAGAAAAAAATCAACACTTTTTTAAGCCTCTTTGTTAAAAATAAAACATAAAAAAATAAATTTTTAAGGACATTTTGCTTAAAAAAAAAAAAAAACTTTTTAAGGCCTTTCTCATTTTTGAAAAAAAAAAGCTTAGCAAGAAAAACATAAATAAATAAAATTACAGCTTATTTTGTTTAAAAAAAAAATCACTTTTGCTGCAAAAGTTGTTTTTTTAATGCCACTTCATTTTCTAAAAAAAAAGAATCTTCACTTTAAAAAAAATCACCTTTAAGGCCTCTCCCTCTTTTCAAAAAAAAGAAAAAGAAAAGAAAAAAAAAAAGGCCTCTTTCATTTCTTTGCTTGTAATTTGGCATTTGCCACTTCTTTGTCTTTGTCATTAAAGAAAAAAGGGGTTAAAAAAAAAAAAAAAAAAAAAAAAGCTCAGGGTCACCTGCGCTCTCTCTCTAATTGTGCCCTGATCGAATCACCCTCGGCTCGGGGCGCGCTCAACTACGCACGGGCTGCCCGATGTTCCACGTTTATTAACTGCATACCTTCTTAGGGGCTGCTTTACCTTGCACCTCAATTGTGCTCTCGGTCGGTTAAAATTCAACACACAGCATACTTCACTTGGCGCGATTTGTGTCAAGTGCTCACATTTCTTTCTTTTGTGTTTGTTTGCTTGCTTGCCATTTTCTTTTCACTTGCATGCTCCTTTACACACTACTACACACAACGGACTGGGGAAGCCCGGGAAACCAACAAATTTTTTTTCAAAAAATCCGACATTAACGTCGTGAGGAGAAACTCGCATTGAGAGCTGAATCGGTTGGGATTTTCTTATCTTTAATTGTGAGCGGCCCCTCCGTAATTCCTTAGCCTCAAAGCAACTCCACATACATTAGGACCTGGTTGATTCCTTTAATAGGTGATCAGGACCTACGTGGGAATCTACTCAGCCTAACTGCATGTCAATAGTTAGAAGTCCACTTAGACCTAGCCTACCCATAAATTTAGGGCTAAGATTTTGAATGCATTGCTTGCTTATATAGGTTGATTAGTCTTAGATCTCAGTCGATGTCTACACCCGGTTTGAACTTGAAATCTTTGGGTCCAAGTCCAGGCTTGTGCCCAGCCTAGGCAGGTCCGAACCTAGGCTCTCTTTTGGTCCGAGCCAAGGCTCGTGCCTAACCCAACCTTGATCCAGTTCGGGTCAACACCCGGTCTGATATCCAATATCCAATCTTTCTAGGTCCATGCCTAGGCTTGTGCCCAACCTAGCTAAAGTCTGAACTAGATTCACACCCAGGTCCGAACCTAGGCCCCCTTTTAGTACGAGCAAAGGCTCACGCCAAATCTAGCCCAAATCTCAATCCAAGTCTACAACTAATTTGAATTCTGAGTTCTTCTGCGTCCGAGTCCTGGCTCATACCTAGCCTAGCTTAGGTTCGAACCAGGTTCACACCCAAGTCCTAACTTAGGCCCCCTTTTGGTCCGAGCCAAGGCTCGTGCTTGACCCAACCTTGATCCAGTCCGGTTCAACACCTAATCTGATATCCAATCCTTCTAGGCCCAAGCCTAGGCTTATGCCCAACTTAGCCCAGGTCCGAACCAGGTTCACACTCGCGTCCGAACCTAAGCCCCCTCTCGGTCGGAGCCAAGACTCTTATCCATCTAGTCTAGGTCTCAGTACAGGTCTTAGCCTACGTCTAGATATAGAGTTGCCTCTAGAACTAGACTAGGTTCACCTTAGTTCAGAGTTCAAACCTAAGCTCATCGACTGTATACTCTTGAGTCAAGACCAAACTTGGTTTCGAACTAAAGTCTATCCATAAGTCCTCACCCCAGGTCTAAACCCCTGTTTATTGTTTAGTTTAGGTCTAGTTAGGTTCGAGTCTTAGTCCAACTAAGTCCAATTAGGTTCAAGTCAAAGCCTAGTCTAGGCCCATGTCTGAGCTAGGTCCAAGCCTTTCTATTTTAGCACAAGTCTAGGAGTCATGGCCCAGGATCAAACCAGAATAAGGTCCAACTCTGCGGCTTTAGCTCAGTCTGGATCTAGGGGACCTAGATAGTCTGAGAGGCACCGTCATAGTGTTCCCTCATAGATTCATAGTACTCGTGTCAGTGAGCCGAGTCTCAACCCATATGGAACCATACCTAGTGGTATGAGCCGCCCAATTGGTGTCCCTCACGTCTGTGATTTAGAAGCCACGAGCCAACAAGTTAGCAGGGTCTGTAACACCTTGAACAGTCAAGGAGTTAGGCCTGGGGCAATCCTCCAGGATATGGGGGTTAGTCTTACATCCAGTCGACATACCAAAGGTAAGGCCCCAGCCCAGATCTTTGAGTTAGCCAATCCTAACTAGGCCCAGGTTAACCCCGACGTTCAGTTAGAAGCCTGACATTCTAGTCTTAGCTATCAGCCACTGAGAGGGCAAGTGGGTTTAGACACACATAGAGCTAGGGAAGGTCTACCCGTACAATCTATCACCAGTAATGGTTAGGGTCTAGACCTAACCCAGTATCAAGATAACCCAAAAGTGCAAGCATTCTTTCGAGACCTGTTGAATTGAGGGTACACCGTCCAACGTAGTCAATCCAGGCGGGTTAAGTCAGGAATTCAAGCTATAGGCCACCTCCAACCTGTTGGTTAAAACCAATATAACCCCAAGGGTGCTAGCCTGCCAATCCAATCAACTAAGGGCCAGGGGTCTAACTCAAGTCATCACTCGAGTCCAGGATTAGCTCGAGGGCAGACACCATCTGACAGTAGTTATGGCCTTCCTTCGCTCTTTCAGTCCAGTGCTGGCGCGAGAGAATATCCTAACCGTAGGGTTAGATCATCCAGTGAAGGTCAGGGATAGGCGGACCTCACTGCTCGAGGTCAGAGGTCTAGTCATCATAGCTGCTCAAGTTGTCCATCTCAGTCAAGTGGTGATCCTATCCTATAGGCCTTCTTGCGCGGCCATGTTGTGCAAACTCCGAGTAATGGGTTAACTCAGGCCCAATTTAATCTAGGTGAGTTTATAGGCCGACAACGGCACACCAAGTTCAACATATTCTGCAGGCTCAATCCTTGGGGAAACCTGCTACATGGGCTCAACAATCAGTCTATACAAGCCATATACTGCAAACTCAGATTCAATAGACCATACAACCAAGCCAGGTGACTGTTATAACAACGACTCAATTCACCTACATGAAACGCCTTCATGACTCTTTAGAGAGAATGGGAATATGGGATTTCTCAGCTCCTAAAACTTATGTACAAGAGACTCTAGGACACCTGGAAGATCTAC